ATGATCTGCGAATATTTTAAAAGAAAATGATAAGATGGTTTATCTTCAGAAAATGTTAAATATAAAAAAATAGGCTCTATGTTTATTTTAATTTATCCTTTTTTGTTTTAATTAATTGTAAGTGTATACCAAAGTGTATACAAAATGCATTAAAAATACTTCTTAAAAGGAACAAAAAATGATCATACTTAAAGAAAAATTTGAATGTCATGAGTGTCATATTTTTATTGTTGGTATTATTATTGCTACCATTATCATTGCAACACATATTTCTTTTGAGATTTGGTTTACGTGCTATTATATTTAATGCGATTTATTGTAATAACGATATAAACAAGCCTCCATGAACATAAATTCCAATCAATTAAATATTGTAAAAACATTCCGCCAAGAACCAACACTAAAACTACATTTAACTGGTCTTACAAGCAACGACAATGAAAACATAACGAATATAGGCCTACCAATAATTGTAATAGGCCGATATTATCTTCTTCTTTTCTTTTTATGAGCAAAAAGGCCTCGGCTTAGTAGAGCAGCAGACAAGTATAACTTCCACTTAGGTGCTGACCAATTTGTGCAGTATTTAAATATTGACGATTTTTTAGGACTATTTGTTCATAACAAAAAAAGGCGTTTATCTGGCTTTCTATTTTCAAGTTTCTATTAGGCTGTAATCATCTAATATAAGTTCACAGGCAACATAAAAAGTACCCGGAAAACTGAAAGTGGTTTCATTGGGCTTTGCATATAAAACATCTAATGAAAACTCATTTGTTCCTTTGGCGCGTAACCTATTTATTATAAGAGACATTATAAGATCTGTCTGCTTCTATTCTTGAAAGTGATGTTATGTGAAGGCTGACGGCTCTTGTACAGAAGCATTAACGATCGCTACACTTCAAACGAGTGCGATTTCTAGCTACAAATCATAATTGATAACTCATACGATATAGGAGGCCTAATAGGCCTATATAACTTAGAATGTTTAAATAATGTTATACGATATCAATATAGGACAGCCTGTTATTTTGAATAACCGCCTATTGGCGTCTTAATACTGATTTGAATTATAATGTTTATGTTCCATTGTTCCCTAGAAATTATTATTTGTTTAACTGATAAAACGTCGCTTGGTTTAAATAGGCAGGCCTTTTTAACGCCATATTTACAAGACAACCGGTATTGGATGTTTTGAGGTAAGGTCGCTACTTTATACACACAGACGTATCCGATCACCTGCGCAACCATTCGTCGACAGAATTCACGATACCTTAACCAAAAATTAGTAAATTAAAATTCTATAAAATATATATTCACATAAATAATAAATAGGCCTAATAATAATTACGTAAGTTATTAGTCAAGAGCATAGGAGGAATGAATTAAAATCACCAATTTCGTAGTAGGCCTAAATATAGATTTGTTAAATGATAACCCCTCCCCTATACTCGGTTCATCCAGTTCGTCATAGATCCGCGCGCCAATACGCCTAGGGTATTGTTATCTCGATCGACCCAACTTTCAGTTCCCCTTCCGGCCCACCCCACCCTCTCCCCTCCCTTTTTTGGACATCTCTGGATCCGCCCCTGGTAATACTTTGTGAAAATATAAAAATAAAACGCTCAGTTGGTATAGAAAACTGACCGTTATAGGATTTTAATTTTATTTACAATGGTGAAAGTTTATCTGATTTTTTTTTAAATGTCTGGACTGGCATTCGCTGCCACTATTTGTTAGCTCCTTCACCTGACAAAATGAAACATTGGTAATGTTGTTATGCAAACTTGTTCAGTAACATTTAGAAAGACCTCATAATGGCACTTCCAACCCGACAATGACTAGAAATTCTTCAGCATTATTTTAACGAAGCTATACAATCACTGGCAGAGAACTTAGTGATTTCCAGGGCAGCCAAGGCGGTGCAATGGTTCTGGGCGACGAGGCAGTAAAGTAAATGATCAATACAGCCACAAACTACTGTATATGTGATAAGAGTCTAAAGTTCTGCCAGTAAGCCTATATACGGGATTGCTCCAACACTAAAACGAGAATAGAAAAAATAGTAGTACAGTAGGCCCTACTAAACAAGTGAAAGAGCTCTGAACGTCTGTTTCCGACCTAGGGGACAATCTATACCCTGGAGCTAGTTGCACAGTAGTCGGAATATAGCCAACGAATTCAAGCGCTCATACAAGGGTAAATCCGTTGAAAAGTGCACGAACCCGTGTTGCTATTTTCGTGGTCATAACTCTGGCTAGAACCGATGATGGTTTGTTGACAGACTGGTAATGAAAGGATTAAATCGTTTAAAATGCTACACAGAGAAACTGAAGCATTTTAATTATATAGCTATTTACTGAGGGAGAAGTTATTAACAGCAGTTTTAGTGGAAAAACACGTATGGCTTGTGACAGTTTGAATTGGGTGAAATCAGAGCCATTTGGATGTCGCTAACAGGTTCATCCCTAGGCCAAAAATACCTGGAATTAAGTACTCGGAGAAAACGTTATTGGAGGCAATTGATTGTACACCGTATGCGGATACAACACTAGTATGACGTACACAAGCCCGAAATGGAGATCAATGTGATTGTGATACGCCCTCTTCTTAAGAATAATAATAATAAATAATAATAATAATAAATAATAATAATAATAATAATAATAATAATAATAATAATAATAAAATAATAATAAAAACAATACTGCTATACTAATATTAACAATAATGCCAATAACAATAATGCCAATAGCAAAAATGCCAATAAAAATACTGCTATACTACTAATAATAATAATAATATAATTTTTGTATTAGGATGATATTGTATTATTATTATTATTATTATTATTATTATTATTATTATTATTATTATTATTATTATTACTATTATTATTATTATTATTATTATTATTATTATTATTATTATTATTAATAATAATAATATTATTATTAAGTATACTGAATTCATATTCATTTATTTTCAAACAAAATAATAGTAGACCTAATAGTTAAAAAAAATGTATAAAGTTAGGGTCACAGTTTTGCATTAATTCATTGTCGATGGAGTAAAAAACAACAAAATTCATGACCCCTAATGTAAAATGTTTTAAAAAACAACGGCAACAAGTTTTGATCTACAATTGTTTGTCTATTGTCTATACATTCACTATATAGTATGTGGGCCTTGTATTCAAATTTTTGAATAAAGTGTGCTAGATATATATATAGCGCCCTCTATAGAATGCGCAAAGTTCTAATATCTGGTTATATTAGTTGTGGCGAAATGAATTAAAGATCAATTTTGGGACCGGGGCTTCCATGGTCTTTAGTAGCTATCTGTAATTAGAATAATAAAGATAAAAGGCATTTGTTAAGTTGGGACCACAGAAAACGAGTCTTTAAATTGAAGGTTGTCTTGATTTGAAGGTTCTTTAATTAGGCCTAGATGGATTAAACTAATAATATTATTGTTATTGTTAATATTTATAATTATTATTATCACTATTAGTATTGCTGTTGTTCTTGATATTATTAGTTATTATTAAATAAATAAATTTAAAAAAAATATATGGTGAATGGTGGTACAATGCATGGTTTACATTCAAGTGTTCCTGTAGGCATATACAGCTTGTCAATTCTAGACCACCTTTAAAACCTGAAGATATGGGGTGGCCTCGGGGTTCGATCATCAGATTAGGCTGTTAAAAGATTGAAGGTTGTTGATACTTTGAAAGAGTGGTCTCGAATTAAAGGGATCTCGAAATAGAGGTGTCTGAAATTGGAGGGCGAAATGTATTTACCTTATGACTATTCTAAAATTGTTAATGTTGGCTGCTTGTCTTTGGACATGTTATCCCATTGGTATAATAAATATTATAATACTTAATTTGATATTTCACTTTTAATTTTACATAAGTGGCAGCATACACGAAATTTGCGCAGTCAATCTTAAACTAATAAAAGAAGAGGAAAACAACATCTTCAACTAAGGACATTAAACAAAATTATAAGAACTTAACTAAAAGAAAAGTACCATATTTAAATTGACAATTAAATCATACACTCCCGACCCCTTCCCCTTTACACATACACATATCCCATGTTTGTGGCGTTATTGACAATGGAATAATCATCGAAAAATAACTGATGGCAACGTCGAATGATAGAGGGCGGAATCACGTAAAATGAATGCGTCATACGTAATGTATTATGTAATTCATTGCTCAACACGTTGTCACAGATTGAGACCCTTCTCTA